AAAACTGTGTTATTTGGTTTGTTTATTTTCTACATAATTTTGGAAAATATTACTTAAATGCTAAAACTGTGCATTTAAATATTACCATTATTTGTAAACGATGAATGATGGGTTTAATAACACGAGTCTGATATTTACGATATGAGGAAGGGAACGAGCGAGTAACGTTATACTTTACACGAGTGTATTAATACTCATCACATCGAGTTTCATACGTTACTTTTTCGGGACTCTGAAACCTTTAGAGGGTTTAAATTTTTAAAATGAATCGTTTCATGGCAATTTGACCCCGCAGGATTTAGCCAACGCCACAAGCGGACATCTTTCCTACCCTATCCACCGCAGGTGGCTTTGTTTTACAATAACAACCTGCGAGACAAATGTTGAGGCAATAATTCCAACGGTCACCGTTTTCACTTTTTTCTCATATTTCTGGAGGGTGTCCAAACGTCACCTTTGATTCACCAGCATGTTAAACTAAAGAATTGGGCCGTTTTGAAGGTCAACCACACGGTAACTACATCTAACAACAAAAAATGACTTGCGCTTACATCTTAACGTCAGTCAGATGTTTTTCGAACAATTAACTACCCATTTACCCTAGGTCGTCGAATAGAATCAAGGTGGTATTACGATCTAAATTATTTTAAATAATATTTCACGTAAAATACTAATAATAAATTAAATTCAAACTGAGAAAGCATATATATATTAAAATGCAATTGTTTAATCTACACAATCCGAACGAAACATTTACATAGAACGATTCTCAATAATTAAGTGTCAATTACTTGGTTGGAAGCTTCTCTGGGGATTGGTCAAGAACCTGTCATAATAATGAAATCTGTATAGTAATCATGGCATGTCATGTAGTTCTACTGAGAAGATCAGCATTCATTTCTGATTCCATTTATTTCACCCCAAGGTGCCGACGTTTCGGTCGCCATTCTGCGACCTTCTAGAGCCGTAATGCCGAAAGAAAGGCGAACGAAACGACGCACCTTTCGCCATGGACGCGGCGTCACCTGGACAGCCAATTAAATACTGACTTCCGGCGCGGAAGTCTACGCTTTTGCCATGACATATTCATTGCGAAACTGAAAAATATTCGATCCACCATGGGCGAGGTGTTCATTACATAATGGTGTGAAATAATGTATTGTATTTTCAATAGAGACCAATGTATTTTTGTAAAAAAATTATTTTACACATTTATGTTTTGAGCTTATATTTGATTTTGGGGAAGTCATACGAAAATATTCAGCGTGAAGCAAGGCATATTCCTTGCCCCTTCTACTGGGGCGTTATAGAAATGATCTGATTGAAGAAAGGCACCTTGCGAGGTGTGGAGTTAAAAATTAATACCAATTATTACTCTAAACATAAAACTTTCTCCTCGATTTGCACGAACTCCAGTAGAGGAAACGGAATCTGGGACTAAGGTGTCGCCAGGCGGGCCAGCGTCGGTAGACGGCCAGGGCTGCGCGTGGGCTGTAATGTAGGAGAATATAAAGGACAAACGCGAATGCACTCGCGGGGCTAGCAGCTACACAGCAAACCTTCCCGCCCAGGCTAGCGCGAAATGTGCTGTGTCACGAGGCGCTCCACAAACACTCACTGGGTGCGCGAGCTAAGCCGAACGTGGCTACAGGCGAGCGGCCGGGGGCGAGGCGCTTGTAGAGAGCAGGCTGAAGTGGAGTTAGCCCAACCTCTTTAGAGTGAGAAACCTAGTTATTTGTACGTGCGCCAGGAAAAGTCACTCCGTACTGGCACATTGCCCGTGAGAGCGCTAGCAACCAAATTACTTTGGTAGCACGAGCTTGCATCTTGCTACGAAAAAATAAAACGTAAAAAATTTGCCACAATTGACAGCAGATTGCTAAGAATGCGGTTGCCCCTTCACTTGTTCAGTGATCTGAGCGCTATCAACATTAATGCAACAATTGAAGAATTTTTAATAGGAGGCCTTCGAACCCGTGGCTCGGTGCCGTAGTTTCCCGAGACACATGTGTGGGTGTGCATGGTGTGTGCGGCGCGCCGAGCGGGAGAGGGCGCCTCACGCGCAAAGCTGCGTGCGCGCAGGTGCCGAGCAGGGCCTTGGGTTTTGTCCCTCGCGCGCGTCCCTCCAGCTCGAGCAGCGCGGCGCCCTGCGCGCGGCACGCCGCCGCCGCCGCCTTCCAGTCCAACGGCGTCGCGCGTGCGAAGCGTTTAGCAGGGGGCAGGCGCCCCACGCGCCGCAACTCGCCCCGGCGCCGCCTTCCGCATGGCCCCCGGATCCACCGCCGCCGCGCCGCCGCCGCTTCCGGCTTCTAGTCGCCGGCGCCGGCGCCGCCGTCGCTCCGAATGACGCGGGGCCTGCTGCATAAAAAACATCTGCTCCAGGAGAGGTCCAGGCCCTCAGGGCAACTACATTTATTACAAGGGACCTTTGGCTCGAATGGCGGGCCGGCGACGCGATAGTCTGTTCCCGCGACCGGAACTCAACGCAGGCTGCGCGCCAGCCGCCTCGAGAAATGATGATGATGATGATGAGTGATGATTGATGATGAAAGAGTTGTGAGGTGGTCTTGAAACGGACCTAGGGGTTAGGTAAACAGTTATAACGACTTAAAGCAATGCCTTAAATTGAACGTATTCTTCACGAGTTGTTGAAATTGCTTGTTTACAAAACACGTAAAATTATTTTTTACGTCAAATATATTCTCCATATGTTATTGCCTAGAAAAAAGTCTCGGTTTCCTGCCTCTCTCCTTTCTCAAACTGCGCTTATGACGTACAGGCATAATTATCTAATGTTTCACTGTCGAAGTATCTGTATGGGCACCTGTATTCCTAATTTAATTATGTCTACCTATTCTGAAACACACCCAACTGCTTCCAATTGCTTGCGCAGTTCCTTATAGGAGTAGTAAATTTGACGAGCACGCTCGCAACACAAAGTTACACGGCGAACGGACGACGTTTATACGGTACGCAACTGTGCTACATAGTAGTAACACTATGGTTGGATAATGACAATCCCATCTCCTTGCTTGCAAAAAACAGTTACACAGTGTATCCAAGATATATATGAAAATTGTAATTGGTAGAAAAGCATAAACATTTTATTCTTAATCAATTAATTAATAAAGATCGAAACAAATCAAACCTGTATGGTTCAGCACGAAAGATATTACAATAGAATCAGAGAGGCTGAAAATAAAATTTCTGCGAAACTCTTAAGGTGATTACCGCCGTTGTCAATCATTTGAAAAACTTGTTATTAATTCTTCAATGATATTTAATACTTGTTAGAAAATTCTTGTAATAAAAATACAGTGCCATAAATCAATGTGAAAGACATTCTTGAAAAGCAAGAAAAAGATAGAATGCACGTTATGCGAACAATAATTCCAAAGAACGGCTCATGGCATGCCCATGATAGATAGATCCGAATATATAAAAGGAAACAGAAATAGGTCGAGCGTGTGATGATGATAATGATGATGATTTAGTCTGTTACTTTGCAAACGGGAAATTTCTCTGTTATCGCGTACTCTTTCCTTTCTTACTAAGTAGTATTTAAATTTCATTCCAAACAATTAGTATTTAAATTTTTCATTGTACCTAAAATATTGTCAATAAGCACGAAAGCGTGGGGTAAATTAATGTAAATATAAGTAGCGTAAAAAAACCAGCGCAACGCTCCCTGGGCGAATTGTCCTTAATGATTCGGAACTAGTTCAATAAACCTGAGAGTTATGAGGGCTATTTTGTTCGAGGAGTCGTTCGAATATGTCGGAACAAATGAAAGCGGTCCAGCAATTATTGGAACTTCACGAGGTCACCTTCTACGCATACACCCATTTTATCAGAATTCTGTGTTTTTTCAGAACGGCTTGTTTGCTAAGAATAATAATTACCACTCATAAATTGCATACACCACGTTGAGTAAAAGTTATTAATGAGATCGACTGTCAACGTGTCGTATTAGAAATACTTCCAGAAAGCCAATAAAGCGCTCCTTTCAAATTGATCTAACATCGAATTACTCTGTGACAAACAGTACAACATCCACTCATTTCTACTATTTATCTAGGGAGAACACATCCAGTAATTATCAATCCAGAGGACTGGAAGTTGTACAATGACGTGAATAAAGAAGGATCCTGATACTGCCGAAGAAAACTTGAAGGCGAGCAGATTTGGTCAGCGTAACGGAAGTTAAAATCCTTGGCGTAATCTCACACCATGGCGTATAAGTCTAAGAGTGTCGTTATGCGATGTATTTGAGGCGTATCAATCAAATTGTATCACACGTATAACGATTGTTAACCTACCGCATGTATTTTTATTTTCTGCACATCGTTTTTTTTTACTCGCGTGAGGACCACACCCCTTGTTTGTCACAGTTACATTTTTCCTTATATTATTAAATGAACTTTACAAGAAAGAAACCATAAAACAGGATTTTTTTATAATTCGCGTTATATATTTGCTCGAAGAAAATTGGAAAGAATCTAAAAATAGATAATTACAATATTCTTCTTATTGATAGAAGATGAGCTTTGTTTTTTCAATGTTTAGATGATAAGCAATTCGATTGAAAGTCAAGATTTATTACAAACAATACATTATATTTTTAAAATAGTACACAAGCCCATAAAAATAATTGTTCGTTTTTATTAAAATTTGACTGTAAGGGAGGTCCGTTTCCATCTTAAATTGCGAATAATACGAAAAAACATCTTTGTTCAAAAAAATTATTTATTCGTTTCCGGGGTCGTCAAACGCTAAGGCCATTAACCCGTTCTTCCCCCTTGGATGGCGAGAGCCGGCACCGAACCAACACGTCGGTAGTGGGGGCGATTTTCCCCAACCAGATATTCCTGATTTTCCAGGCGAGGAACGACGAACTGCCGACGGTTTCCCACCTGGCAGGTACCACCTGGGTGTTGTAAGGGGTCTAAGGAAAAGTTTGCAATCCAGCGGCAGTGGGCTCCCAGTCATCGCTCCGCATTCCAAAACGTCTTCAAGGGTGCCCTCCCGTCACGCTGCGTCATGACTGCATCTTGGAACAGCGCTGCGCCCAAACAATTTTTTTATTAAGCTCGGATAAAAAACCGGCCATAGAGATTCATGATATTTGATCATTACGGCTTACGGGGATAACGCGCGTGGGTAGATGGGACTGTTTCCACTGCACAAGCATGGTCCGGGAGGGGAGAGAGAAGTTAAAGACGGCGGCTCCTTCAAGTACGATCTTCGAGCTCCAAACTTGACGAAAATGTTGCGAGAGTTGAAGAATTTGCTGGACCAGTGACCGCAGATTAACAGTTCGCAATCATTGCCAATAACTTCACCTCGCAAATCCCAAATGCACGAAATTGTGAACGAAAAATTGCAAATTGACGGGACCTATCGAAGTGGGCTGCCGCGAGTGCTCACAGACGGGTCACACAAACATGTGTGGTAGTTACCTGGCCCATACAAACATTCGCAACCGTCCTCAGACACTCTACAATCCCGTCTTACCTTACCAGATTTTTTCTTTTCTCTGTCTCAAAATCACCCTGAAAAAGGCCATACACCGCCCGCCTTCCAGAAAAGCGTATGAGGGCTAGGAAAATTGCTGCTGACAACGTGTATGGATGTAAAAAGGATCGTATTTTGAAGAATGTTGAGTTCATGTATTATTTCTCTCAATAAATAATCTAAATAGTATTTCTCTCAATAAAATACCAAATGATGCAAGTAACTGACTCAGACCGACTACTAAGGACAGGACCCTGTAAGTATATGTATAAGTAAGCGATTGACGATTAGAACAAAGAAATGGAAAGGAAAGATCGTGAGCGCGGCCGTGACCCGTTTGCTAGGTATTGATACGCATTCCTCTGATGATCACGAAGCAAACTATAAAATATCGATCAGAAAACGGCCAGTAGAATTCTCCTCCATACAGCGGCTGAATCGACCTAGCTATGAAGCTAGTTCTCAAAAAAATTCTTGCGACCGTCAGGATTCGAACGGATTAGGACCTCCCGGTCAAGGGCAGTGGGAGGGACGTAAATGAGTCCTGAGACACTTAGTCAGTAAAGAAGTGGACGAATAGACCTAAAGGTAAGAACCCTCCTCGGGCGAGTTGAAGAAACAATAACATTGACAGGGAATGCATGCTAAAATGATTTCAGCACTCATGCGTGCAAAACTAGAAGCTTACCTAAGCTGTTTTAATGTTTGGAAACTTCTTTGTACGCGGTACGCGTACAACAACCGTAGTATTTACAATACAAGTGATGCAAGAAAACATTTAAAACAACTAATTTTTGCAAAGTAAACAAACACTGAGTTGAACTTGAATCAAATATGGACGCGTTTCGTAACAACAAGTTCGTTGATAATGATTCCAAAATACGGAACTAAAAGAAACGCTCTACAACAGTGTTTAGAACTTGTAATTTTCCATGAATTACTTCTAAAAGGTAATTTGCGCAACACGTACGATGTGTCTTTGGACCTATTTAATTTTCAAAATGGCCGGATCTCGACTTCCTTGTCACCTCGTCCACAAACATTTCACGGCAAAACCTACTTTCTGACTATAGCTGACCACTTAGAAAAAAACCCTCTTCTTAATTCAATTAAAATGAAATCAACAGCCAAAATCAAAAATTCCATAAACATCTGCGCATGCGCGAAAAATGGCGGAGGGGAAAGGTTCCCTCTCTTAGAGGGTCAACTTCTTCCGCCTTGACGAGCCCCCGACACCGGCCGCCGCCGCCTCGGGCCTGGGCGGGCGGGGAGATGACAGCCTGGACGTGATGAACGTTCCCGCAACCCAAGAAGACATGTAAGCGTGAGAAGCGTTGCAAGAGCAATCAGTTACGCGTTGCAGGCGGTTCTCGAGTTCAACTGAAGCTTCCTCTTCGGGCAGCAGCGGCTGGAAACGCTTAGTCACGCTTCTCGAGTTCAGCGACGCCATGCGGATTTTTTTATTCTTAAGTGGTCGAGCTATAGTTACGTGCAAGATTGCAGTAACTACTAGCTAAAATTACATAATTTTAGTCGAAAATTAAAATGCATGCAGAAATGAGTGTTCCGATCTTTACCCTGCGGCGCGCTGTCCTAGCGGCGGCGGTGCAGGTGTAGAGCATGGCCTCGACGCGCCGCAGCCGCTTGTCCAGGAAGTCGATACGGTAGGTGAGCTTTCTCGATTGCGGCTACAGGTAGATGTCCGGCTTCGACACCTGGCGGGGCGTCTTGCGCTGGTCGTCGTCGGCGGCGGCGCGCGCGGCGGCGCCCGGCTGCGTAGCCAGGTCTTCCAGCAGCGGCGCCCACGGCCACCCCGCCACAACCGGGCCCTCCTCGGGCCCCGGCCTCCTCCTCCTTTCCTCCTCCTCCCACTCGCCGCGCACTCGCCCCCTCCGCCGGCCTGCAACACGGCCGCGCCTCTGCTGCGCCTCCGCTGCGGACCACCTGCGCTGATGAACTTATTAGGCAGTTTTAAGCACGGAGCGGCGTTAAAGCAATCGACAGGAAAAACATCGGCGCAGTTCGAGGTTTGCAATTCACTGTTGAGCCTCTGCTTATGCGCAGGAATCAAATATTTGCTGCACTTTTCCGCTACGTTCTATGTCGTGCTTTAAACTCCCTACTAACGTCGTGTAGGCCCATGTATACCAAATAACTGACGCGTTTGAAGTTGCGATGCTTCAGCTGATGTTCATCGGCTGTGGTCAGTCTAGTACATTATGAAGCGATGATCCAAATATGGTATTTAATAACACGAGTAGATATTACATACGAGCGAGATTGAGCGAGTATGGTAAACTCCATGAGTGTATTAAAACCCATTACATCGAATTTCAGTACGTATTTTTTTTGTACGACTTACAGTAATTTTTTATAAGTTACACTTTAAACATTGAATATTTTCGTGGCAGTTAATATTGCAGGCATTCAGCAAATGCCACCTAAGCCGAATAGCAGATAGCCACCCCTAACCTATTATGCCGCAGGTGCTTTGGTTTATTCACTTGCGGTAGTTCAAAAACGATCAAAGTGAAATTACGATCCAATTTAATTTAAATTATTATCCCCACGTTAAAAAATTACTACTAATAAAAGAAATTAAATCTGAAAAGCCCATATAATATTAAATGGAATAATCTTTGGCTGTCCGGGTAACGCCAGTCGGCAGGCCAGCACTGAGGAAGACCACGATAAGATGGTCGAAACGTCGGCAAACACAGCCTTCGTCGGACGCGGCGTCACCCAGGACAGCCACGACTCATTCACATGGACTCTGGGCCACGGAAAGCCTAAGACTTCATAATATTAAATGGAATTTTAATGTATACAAATCGAACGAAACATTTTACATAGAACGATTATCAAACGATTAATTGTCAATACTCAGTTTGTAAAATTTCTCTGCTGATGGTCAAGAACCTGTCTCATAATGAACATTATTTTGCACGGGTTGTGCTGGGGGGGCGGGACAGCAAATGGGCAGGAAATATGCAATGGGAGTTAAAAAAAACTTTTTCGCAACACTGCGTACGGGGTATAAAAAAACCAATAGACAGAAGTGACTTGCTGTAGTGGCATGAGTTAATTACAAAGAGAATGCCTGGAGAAGCAAAAATTTTGCTAATTTGAAAACTGCCACATGTGATGAAAGTTTAGTTCAGAAAGTGACGGCCAGTTGGTGTTGCTAACGCCAAGATTCCCCTGTCACAAACCTCACGATTAGCATTTGCTTCGATAGAGTTGTCCACTCACGTTTGTAAAATGAATACAGAGTTTGTAACCACAGCTCGCGAACAATTTTAAATTTAGCCAGTGTTTTTTTTTTTTCATTGTAAGCTCATCCCCCAACTTCAGCATACACTTCCATCCACTGTTACCAACTGAATTGTAGTCACTAAATGAAACAGATCCGTGATTAAAATAATCAGTGTAAGGCACGCAATTAGTGGCTCGTGCGTTCAACAGATGAAGGAATGTCTGAAGAATTTACCTTTTTGTGTGGACGTTATTGAAAGAAAGAAATGCTAAATTACGATACAACTTATCAAATGTGACATTGAAGTTATAACTACTTCTTAGACGCATTTCCCACCCGCCGTTCGTTACTAATAAATTAAAGAAGACAAACCATTTTTTAATGTTGTACCATAAAGGTTATAAGTGTTCTTCACACGCTTGTTGTTTAAATTATTTCGCAACTTTGACTTAATATCCAAATTAATGGCCACCACGTATCACATTTTTATAAAATATTATTAATCATCTGGGACACTACAATAAACAGATTTTCCGTCTGTCCATTGTTTCTGTCCGTCCCATCGCCTCCTACAATGTACGTGGCATTGGTCCGTCGCATTTGGGCGACTTACGACCACCATGTAGAGGTGAATAAATAGGTTCATGCAATCCTCTGGGAAATGGCACACAATTAGTTAATCAGTGCCCTCTAGGATATTCTGGAAGAACCTTTTATAAAAGCACACAATTATGTCAATAATTTCATATGAACCGGCGAAAGCACAACTTAAACCTTGTAACATGACAAACACGCCAGAGACCCAAGGTAAGGCTTGTTAATATTAATTGATTATTATTTTTTATTTCTTAAGCAAAAAAGGCTGACATGAACAACTATAAACCTGGTTTTTTTTCTAATGTTTAGAGTTATAGTACAGAATGTATTTCTCATCTGGCGTTTGAAGGCATTCATACTTTTCCTTTGAAGTAAGTGAAATGTCAGAAATACTTCAATCTCAAAAACATACACACAAAAACAAATGAAAAAATATAAACTCAAAAGCCAAATGTAATGAATGAAGGCGAACATTGCGACATTTCTGTGACTGATTATTCAAGTTTCTGCTTAAAAGATTTCTCCCAGTTTTGCGACTATAATACGCGCCCTTATTAATGTTTTATACTACCTTTCCTGCTATTGATATCGTACAGTCAAATATTATGGCACATGTATGAAAGAGGTAAATTTTCGGTTTCCTTTTTGTTCATTCCACCTTTATAATGATTTATATTTTGCCTTCAAAACCTCAATACTTGTGCGTTATTCCCATTCATATTCTCTAAAAATGCAATTTTCCAGCATTATTTTCATCAAATGAAATCCGGCCACGAAAGCCTAAGTGTATGTCTACTAATGTATTTCGTACATTTGCGTATTTTAAGTATGTGTACGCGGCACGTTTTTCTTGAGCCTCGGAACACCAACCCCCACTCCTTCACTTAATTTTTAGTTGAATTAAGAAAAATCATTGCAACGAGCGTTGGTGGACAAACTCTGATAACCAGAAATGCTCGCTCCGTATAATAGAAATTATTTTTTGTATCGTAAAACGAGCTACAGATTTGGGTACATAAGTTCTGTTGACGAAATAACAAACCACCCCAACTCTCCACTCTCTCAACCTTGCATCTAGCTAAATGAGCGGCTCAAGAAAAAACGTGCAAGGATAAACATCGTAAAAACACACAATGAATTGCAAAAGGTTTCCATTTTAGAATTTAACGTCAGTAGGTTAATTATATTGTTCATTCATTTACACTTTCCTCGCATTCTCTCACTTTTTTGTGTTGTTTAAAAACATGTTCTTGAACATTGGAAGCAGACTTTCATTTGGAATAACTGCTTCAACTCTGCAAGGGGAAAAAACACGAAAACTAGTGATTTAAAGTCAACCATTCTGAAAAGGAAAACATTCGTTTCCATCACATCGTCTGGTTAACCTGATTTTTCCACGGTTCCATCCCACATGCATGACGCAATAAAACACCTCTCGCATTATACAGATGGAAATGAGAGGCGCGGAGAGAAAAGAAAGCAGAGAGAGAGAAAATAGAAACCAGGCAATTGATGAAAAAATATATCATGAAAAACGTTTATTGCAATAATTTAACAGCAGTACTATGAAACTTTGATTTGAGGGAGTGAGGGAGCGATTCTTTTAATGAGTTTGATAACCTAACTTATTCTTAACATGAAAAAACTAATAAAGAAAGGATATATTGCATAGGTTTACATTTCATATCATAGAATTTTAAAAGCACGTACAGCAAGCTGGATTCATTAGATTTACAGAATGAAAGTAATTTTTTTAGAATATTTTTAGCTACACTAAATTTAATGAAAATGGTTTTTAGCTTCGAAAAACAATTATTGCCCCAATTAAATAGTACAACAATAAATAAATACAATTAAAAATTTAATTAAATGCAATGTATTTGGGAAATGATTTGAAGGCACTATTCGATTTAACATTAACAGGAAAAATATCACGAGAGATATAATGCAAACCTTTCTCAACCATTCTTTGAACACGTGACCAAAATTGAAATTTTAACTGACAGGTTCTAACTTGAAAGGACTGGAACATTCAGATATACATGTATGTATGGCTTACTACATTTAATACTACTTTCGACAATTGATATCATTGCACTATTTCACTAAAATGGCTATTTAATATTCACATGATTGTGCGTTTTGAACACCTCACTTTGTCAAGTCCTAGAAAACTTAAAATTTGAATCTGAATGGCGAAGATAGTGACATTTAAACAAAATCTGTGAATTGCTCTCTGTATTCATCATAGAAATTACTCGGAGTGCTGAGGAAATTGTCGTTCAATCTCCGACTTTCAAAGCGAGTAGGGGATTTATTTTGAGAAGTTCCAAAGCCGCGACTGCTTATTTATTAGGACTTTAAACGAAAAAAATATTAACAACAAAGTTCCAAAAAATGCGCCAAAACTATTGATAATAAATTGAAAGAATGTTAAACAAAGAGGTTATGTTATAGTACATACGAGGTTCATTGCATATCAAAAAACAGGGATCGCATATTATACTGCCCACTAAGAATATGAGTCACAAGCCAGAAGAGAGGAGATTAGGTAAGAAAAATCAGATAGAAAAAGCGAAATTTGTGAGATACACCAG